TTAAGCATGGCTCAAAATGATGGATCAGACTCATGAGACTTTGCAAATAAATGGAAAAATTACAAGCCTAACTCCTATAGTAAATTACAGAATTTTCAGCTTACCTTGGTAAAGTTAAATGAATGAATAAGATAACTAATGAACTCTTCTCAATTTCCCATTTTTTTACAGTGAGGTATTGGTTTTCAATATCTATTGGAAAATATACAGCATGGAAAAAATATCCCATTGTCTCACACATTCTTTTAAGTTTAGGCGAATAGTCCTAAAAACATATAAAAGCACAGCTTATTTAACTAAAGATCTAGTCAGTTTCATACTACTTAAAATAAAAAAGTATGTTTTAGGCAGGTTACGTTGGATATTTTCTAATTTAAAATTTAAAAATATATATAATCACATTTTAAAGACAATGTTTAAGAGAAAAGGCAAGAGTCTCTAAAAAACGAAAATAATAGTAATAGTATGTTAGCAACTCCGCTGTTTCCTAGCTCAGAAAATGATTTACTTCATAATAGAACCTGAAACAACGGAAGAAAAATATCAGGCTATTTGCTTTGGTATTTGTTTATTTTTATTATTACAAATGATTATTGTTTTATTGTTATAAAGAGTGAAAAATATAAATCCATTAATCTGTATAGGAAAAGTGTCCACCATGATATATTAGAACACTAAACAAACAGATATAAAATAAATATATGTTGGTCTATTTAGGATCTCTATTATTATGCAATAAATTAGTGATTCCCTGAATCTGTGTTTGGGAATAACATATTCAATTAGTAAATGAAAGTTTTGGTTTTCAAATTATTTTATCTTTTTTCCCAAATTTAGTAACATCAAAAAGGAAAGCGCAGGCCCAGTCGAGTGGCTCAGTTGGTTAAGAGCTCACTCAAGAGTGCGAGCTCTGAGCAACAGGGTCGCCGGTTCAATTCCCGGCCCGAGCTGAGCTGCCACTGAGCTGCCAACAAGAGGCAGGATGGCTCAGCCAAAAAAAAAAAAGGAAAGCTCAATGAACTTATTAATCAAGAATCTAGAGGACGTTAACATAGCAGGTATAGCATGTAATGTGCAGATTTATTTAAAATTCAGTTAGAACCAACAGGCAGTAGTCAGCAAACATTTTCTGTAAAGGGCCAGATGGCAAATATTTTCACAAATTAATAATAGCTTAACAATGTGGGTGTTTTGGCAGAGGTCTTTGCTGTCCATTCAGTCTTTGTCACAATTTATTCTGCCATGGAAGTGCAAAGTAGCCACAGACAATATGTAAATGAATGAGCGTGGCTGNTTTTAGCTGAGCCATCCTGCCACCTGTTGGCAGCTCAGCGGCAGCTCAGCTCGGGCCGTGAATCAAACCGGGGACCCTGTTGCTCAGAGTTCGTGCTCTTGAGCGAGCTCTTAACCAACTGAGCCACTCGGCTGGTCCCCTCAGTCTGTATTTTGAAAGGGTAACTTTGAATACAGAAATATGGTATGAAATAAAGTCTCTGGCAGGCAGCTTATGGCTGATTACAGATGGCTACAAATTTTTTAACACTCCTCCCATTGAAGGGTGGGGTTTATGATGAGGACAGCTACATAATTTGTGGGACCCAGTGCAAAATGAAAATATAGTGCCCTTGTTCAAAAACTAAAGAATTTCAAGATGGCAACAGTAGACCATTAAACCAAGCATGGGGCCCTTTTGAGTCCTGGGACCTGTGTAGCTGCCCTTGGGGTTCTTCAAGGAGTCATACATCCATGACTCTGGCCTGTTTATGACTTCCCCCTTTGAATTTGTTTGGGCTTTGTGACTGCTTTGACCAGTAAACTATGGCAGAAATGACACTATGCCAGGTTCTGAGCCCTGGCCTTGAGAGAATGGCAGCTTCCACTTCCTGTGTCTTGTAACACTCTCTCCGGAAGCCTTCAGCCATCATGTAAGGAGACCTACCACCCCACTGAGGCTGCAGACTGGAGAGGATATATATAGGCATTCTGGGCCACAGTCCCAGCTGGGCCCAGCCTTCTAGCAAGACATGAAGTGAAGCCGTCTTGGACTCTTCAGACCAACCTGTTTGTTAGGTTTTTACAGCTAAGTGACTTACAACTAAGTTGATGCCACAGGGAGAACAGAAGAATCCCCCAGCCAACCGCTGCCCAAATTAGTGACCCACAAAATCACGAGATATAATAAATAGGTGTTGGCTTAAGCCACTGAATTTGGGGGTAATTTCTTTTCACAGCCAGAACAATAGAAACATTTCCTCACATTTGGTCAAGTTAGCTTGCAAAATTAACAAATAATGCTGCCATCTTTTTAAAAAATGTGGTTGGTGGAATAAATAACATTTGTGTGGCTAGTGTGTGTTTGGTTCTCAGACTGTGAATCTCAGAATCACTTGGGACAGTTGTTAAAAATTGAGATCCGCTGAAGTTTAATTTCTGTGACAGGAGCTTGCAAAGTTGCATGTTGAGCTAACTCCCAGGTGGTACTTATGTAATTTAAGATCTCAGAACTACTGAGCTTGCAAAAAAAANTTAAAATTGCAGGAAATGTGTTATTCAAACTAATGACGAAGTTCCAATTCTGGGAAGATGATGGAAAAAAATAGCCCTCCTACTATATATGCCTGCTAATACCAGACAACATATAAAGCATTTCTAAAAGCACAGTTGAGCCGGGAAAAAAGAAAGGGAAATTCCCCAGGTGCCAAAAATGACAGGAAACTGAAAATCCCAGGGCTAAGCGCTGGGGATGCCGCCCCTGCGGAAAGTGTGGATAGAAGGCAGGCAGCACTCCCAGTAACATAAGGGCTTGGGTTTTCACACCCATGGGGGGATGGGAGGTGAGCCCATAAACCTCCTGAGTCAAGTAGTTAGAACGAGAATGCTTGCCCGCACTGGATAGCCCAAGGGCTGTCCCTTCAGGGAAGGGGTACATGAGGAAAACATCAGTCCACAAACATGGCGAGAAGACAAAGAGACTTATGGGCTAGAAAGTAGGTTGAAAAGTCAAAACAAGCTGAGAAAGTAGTACAAAAATGGATTCAGGTTCAAACTATAAGAGTTCAGCAAGCAAGGTTGCTAAACATAAAGTAAGTTTTCAAAAATCAAATTGAATAGCAAAACAATTTTAAAATGTTATTTTGTCTTTGTCTGACTTATTTCACTTAGCATAATACACTCTAGGTCCATCCATGTTGTTCCAAATGCAAGATTTCATTCTTTTTTACTGCTGAGTAATATTCCATTGCATACATCTACCATATATCTTTTTTATCCATTCATCTATTGAACACCTAGGTTGCTTCCATATCTTGACTTTTGTAAATAATGCTGCAATGAGTACAGGGATGCATATACCTCTTCAAATTGGTGTTTTTGTTTTCTTCAGATAAATATCTAGAAGTGGAATTGCTGGGTCATAAGGTAGCTCTAGTTTTAATTTTTTGAGGAATCTTCATCTGTTTTCCACAATGGCTGCACCAATTTACAATCTCACCAACAGTGCATGAGCGTTCCCTTTTCTCCACAGCCTCAATGGGTAAAATAAGTAAAGGGGGGTAAGAAGTACAAACTTTCAGTTTTAAAATGAATCAGCCCCGGGAATGTGGTGTAAGCGCAGGGAATATCGCCAATAACATTGCAATAACTTGGTATGGTGACAAAAGGTTACTAGACTTAGTGTGGTAATCACATCATAAGGCATAAAAATGTTACATCACTATGTTGTACATCTGAAATAAATATACTGTTGTAACCTAACTATAGTAAAAAATTAAAATAAATAAAATAAAATGTTATTTTAACTATAGGATTCTTAGAAACAAATCTTAACAAAAGATGTAAAAGACCTTTATGGGGAAGAAGATAAAATGTTAGCAAAAATCACTAAAGAAGATGACTAAGTAAATGGAGAGCTATTTAGCTTTCCACACAGAAAATTTTTATGATAATTTTCCCAATCTTAATCTCTAAATTCAATGCAATTCCAAAAATTCTAAAATGAGTTTCCATAGACTTGCCAAGCCAATTCTAAAAATACATATGGGAAGTTAGCCAAGATAATTGTAAAGAATAATATTAAGAATGGGATTGCCCAACCAAATATTAAAGTTTTCTTTAAACTACTAATAGTTAAGACACTGTGGTATTGGCAAAGAATAGGCAAAATTAGAACAAAAGAGCCTAGAAACGAACTCATGTATATATATATATATATATATATATATATATATATGCTTGATACTTGACAGATAGCACTCCAAATTAGTGGAAAAGATGTACTATTTAGTAAAACAGCCATATAATACAAGATTAAAAAGTAGACTCATCCCTCACACAATAAACAAAAATAAATCAACATGAGTTAAGGACTTACACACAAAGAACAAAAGTGTCAAATATTTTGAATGGGAAAAATATATATGAGAACACTTTTATGATAGCAAAGGATTTTTAAAATATGATAAAACAAGGCATAAACCATAAAAGAAATTGTTGATAAATCTGACTTCATCAAAATAAAACTCTGTATAATGAATGACACCATAAAGTTAAAAGATAAGAAACAAACAGGAAAAAGACATTTATTTGCAAACTCTGTAACAAAGGATTTGTACTCAGTATGCAGGACATTTAAGAATGCCTATGGATCAATAAGAAAAAGACAAACAACTCAATTAAAAAATGTTTAAAGGACTTGAACAAGAAATTCACAGAAGAGGAAACAAGAATAGCCAATAAACATGAAAGAGTAACAATCTCAATGATAATTAGGAAAATGCAAATTTTTTGAGATATCACTTCTGGCCACAAGCACACTATGGTAGCATGCATCCCTATATGCTTAAAACATATTTAAGCACAAATTTACAAAAATTTGCTCTTTATTTGACTTCACACACAAATACAAATAAGGCAAGATAAACATCCTTTTATAAATTTATTACACTTTACCTGTTTCATTAGCTCTTTATCTATATCATTTGCCATGGATTCCTGGATAGATTGCAGAACAAGTCTATATAACGAAACAGTATCTTGACACTGGAAACACTGATGAATGACTTTATCTAAATTGCCTGCTCTCCCAGCACTGTTAGAATAGAGAACAGATTTAATTTGTAACAGATTGCCAACATCTGTGAAAAATTTGGGGTAGATTAAAAACTACGTGGTCTCTGTGTTTTATACTGCAACTGATAATAACAATTCAATAAACCATGATCCAGGAAAATGGTTGTTTTATGGGGCGGCTAGAGTCATCAAGTTACTTTTAGTGTACCATTTAATTCAATTCAATAAATAAACGCTGGGACTTAACTATATGTCAAACAATTACTACACATTATAGAACATAAAAATGAGTAAGACATAGTTCTTGTCATCTAGAGGCATGCCAACTACATACAGGACCCAGGAAAATAATTATAAATAAATATTATTAGTTAGTTAGCCATGCAAATTAAACTTTTTTAGAGACAGAATTTGGAAAACATCAATCTAAAGAAAATCAATAAGTAGGGGGGTTTGTTTTAAAATATTACACAATATTTACCAGTAGTTTCTTTTTAAAATAGAAAGATATGTAAAGAAGAGGAAAAAACCAAAACCAAAGAAAATGGTCCATAGTCCCTCTTAAATAGATAATTTCAATAAACGTTATGAAATGTATAGAAAGTGACTCACGCTCTTGAATCGTACTTATGCAACCTACTGAGGTTCACAGGGGCCAGGCCATTGTACAACTCTGGGAACCTTGGCAAAGAACAGTGGGAATATCGTAGGCAATTCAAAGTTTTAGAAGATTTTTTTTCATGTCAAATTTGGTGCTTAAGATGAGAATGTGGAATTAAGAGACAAGAGTACTAGACTCAGTGTCTAGGATATGGGTTGTACTAGGATTACTATCTATTGTGATGAATACCAAAAAATATATTAATCTTTTTTTATAATACTGGTTTTGAACAAAGTAGGCTGAGGCAGTACTGAAGAAGAGATAGAAGTAGTAAAACTTTCTAATGCTTATCTAAAAACAAATTCCTAATGGATACCTAAAATAGAAGAATCTATTTTAAGATGAAAGATTTATCGGGATTTGAGACCAGAGACAACTAAAATTTCCTACCTACATACCTACCTACTGATATTCAAGGACACTGGAAATAACATTTTTAGGCATCAGTTGACTCCTCATGTTTGCAAAGCTAGGAACCTCAGGCAGGTGACAATGAGCACTCAGGGGTGGGCCCCAAATGAAGGCAAAAGTGGCCTTCTTTGGCAACCCCCAGTAGGGTAAAAGTTAGTCTGATGAAAATTACACAAATATATTTGACCAATTCTGCTAATTCACAGGCTATCAATCTTCAGTCATGAATCACATTCTCACAGGATGTTAGTATCACTGTTAGAATAAACGGAATCTGAGTGGCCCAAGGGATTGTCATAATCAGCTCTCCGTGTCACAGGGTGAGGAAGCAGTCTGCAACAAACACAAAACATGCAGAAGATCATGTGAAATAACCACCACTTACCGTGCAATCATTTTGCCGAAAAGGGTGACATAAAGGGCGTTACAGGTTGTGGCAGAACGACAGTGTCGTTCTAGCTTCTTCTCCTGCACCAGTCACCAAAAAACAAAACAGAAATACAAAGCCACCCTGGAATTAAGCAGTCTTTACTAACAAGCTATCAAGTATCCCTGCAGAAATGGCACAGTTCCTGCCATCTCATCAGCAGCGTTACTGCCAGGTGGGGGTGGGCTGCAGGTCAGATAGACATGCAAATGTTTTTTTGCTTTTTAATACTTACTTGATGTAATCTAGTAAAGTAAACCTTAAGACCAAAATCTTTATTATTGCTTCTTCTATATTTGTTATTAGTTTAAGAGCAAATGCATTTAACAAAGTAATTACTAAACTGCAATTTTCCTTATAATTACAGACATCTCCTCTATTGAATTTTAAGTCTCATATAAGGTTTTTTATAGGAAAGCTGATAGAGAGTAAAAAATAGCAGCACAGTTAAAAATACTTACCTGCTCTTTACTCAATTTAATGTCTACAGAGTGGCATTCGGCAATTATGATAGATTTTGCATCTTTCGGGTGTAAAGGATCAAGATGAAGTGTTGGCCATAACCTTTTATTTAAGGAAAAGAAAAATGAAATTCTCTTCTAATACCACAAAAGCTGTAATCTACCCACAACACAGGTAAAAATCCATTATAAGAATTAATTTTTTATATTGCCTTTATAAAATAAGCAAAATTAATCTGTGTTAATCCTATTAACTAATATTATTTCATTTATTCTAACATGTGTATCATTACTTTCAATTAATGATACAGCAATTAATCACGACAAATGCTGCTATAAAATAAATAGCGTATACATTAGATAGTGAAGTGGTAACATATTTCTAGTTCTATGTTTTATACCATCAGTAAAACTAAAGACAGGTATTAGTACCTATGAGGAATAGTACAAGACATAGTCTTTGTCCACAAATTACTTGTAATTCAATTGAAATTTAATCACGTTGCAATATGCATTCTCAGTGGGATGGTGAAAATTGTTTGCTG